CACATTGACTATGGACTGTAGGGGGCACTGTAGTTTTACTGAGGTCCACATGTACTGTGAGCTGATCTGGGCACTGCTGGATTACTGCTGCGCTGACTCTCATCTGACGTCACATATACTGCAGCAGAATCAGTGTTGGGGAGTAACTAGTGACACGTAGCGGCGTTACTTAATTTAACTACAGAATAAAAGTATCATTAATGCGTCACAGTTACTGAGAAGACACATCACTGAGCTGCAGTTATGATGAACATGTGGAGGATTAGTGACGGGCATCATCTGATCATGCTGAATATTATTATCTGTCTGCAGCTTTGCCTTCTTTAATAAGCTTCTGCTCAGGTCATGTATTGGTTTTCTGGTTGGATTGCGGCGCTCCACGTCCAGCAGGTACGCTAATCCTCTCTGTCGCTGAAAGCATTAGCCAGTCTGAGAGCTGCACCATGGCGAGGGATGATGATGCATTTCACATTTAGCGGTCAGGACACCGGCACACTCCTCTGGCCAAAGCCATGTGATCACAGTGTTGGGCAGCAGTGTTGCTACAGGGAGCGATGACGCTACTAGCTTCACTACATTTCTCAGTAGCGTGGCGGCAGCGTTACTACTTTATTAACCAAAGAGCTTTTCAGTAGTGAAGCGATTTTATTAGTGAAGTAGTGCAGTAGTGCCCACACATGCTCCATTCACTGATCACTGACGGCACTGACATTCACAGAGCTGCGAGGCCGGTAATTAATCTATTACATTTGCAAAGTAACCTGCGCAACACTGAGCAGAATACCCTTGCTAATCCTCCACACTAATATAGCGGACTGTTAGTGTCTGCCGAGAGACTCTGAACAGCACTGAAGCTCATCTGATGAGGGTAAAAGTCTCTCTGAAGCGGAGTACAGCACACGGTTACCTTATTCTCAGAGTAATGCTGCAGTCTGCACACCACTGAAACCACTGCACACTCACGCCCAAGAGAAAATACTGAACATACAGAATTCATGATCATATATAACAAGCTGTTCAGCATAGTGATGTAATAGACACCATGTACACTACACTCAGGCCCCGTTTACACTAGTGTGTTTTCGTTTTAAACGCATAAGTTTTGCTACGGTTACGCCATCAGTCCCCACCACGCCGGAGTTCTCGAGCGCCGAAAGCGGAGTGTTTTGGAAACGCTGGAGAGGCCGTGTTCATTCTGAAGCGCTGCTGCTCTGTCTCAGTGTGGATGAGGGAAAACGGAGACATCTGAACACGGAGGCGGCGCTGCTGAGATTCAATAGCTGATTGGGGCTTTTGTGTCATTGTGTATCCTTCCCTCATTCGTCAAGCCCCTATCACATGACTAACACATGGCTTTAACGCTACCGGGAGACAGCAGACCAGCCTTCACTGTAAACAACAGCATGTGCACAGAAATGGCAGCGCTGTTTGCTCTAGTGTCTGTTTTAGGCAGCATTGTGCAGTTATTCATCTGTTACGTTTAGTAACTCCACCTCGTCGTCTGTCCACAAATATACCTCTCCTGCTCTCGTCGCCATCATGTTTAATGTTCAACCGGTGTTTGTTGACTAACAATAACCAAATGCCGAGCGAGACGCATGCTTCCTGTTTATACGCGAACACACATGCCCAGAGTGTGTGAATGGTCACGTGATGTACGTGTTTGGTGGCGCAGTGTGGACGGAGATATGTTTAGAGACGCTAGGTGAAACACTAACACTAGTGTGGACGCGGATCGTTTTTGATCTAAAACGTAGTTTTAAAACTAAACACACTAGTGTAAACAGGGCCTAAGTCGTGTGGGTCTTTACAGTTCAGTAAACACCCCCCTCAGACCCCTGAAACATCCTACAGAACCTGAACAGACTGAAGTGTGGAGTAATAGACAACACTCACGCCTCCTGCTGATCAGCAGCTCCAGCAGCTCCATCTGAAACGACAACCACAAACATCAGCACACACACACACGTACACACACACCGAAGACAGAACTCTGCTAAAGAAAACACACACACACACACACCTTTCTTTATATCTTCAGAAAGCTCCGCCCTGCTGGTGTCTGAAACACACTGATCTGAGGCTCCGGAAACACCAACGGCAGTCTCAGCATCAGTATCCATGGTAACAGCCTGACTGACACCAGTGTTCTTGGAGAGGGTATCCATGGCAACAATCTGACCGACAGCTGTGTCCGTGGACACAGTATCCATGGTGACAGTCTGACTGACAGCTGTTTTTGTTGAGACTGTATCCAAGGCATCACTCTTTGTGGAGACGGTATCCACTGTAATAGTTAGGCTGGCTGCTTTCTCTGTGGAGACTGTATCCACGGCGACAGTCTGACTGACATTTGTCTCTGTGCAGATGGTATCTATGGCAACAGTCTGATTAATAGGCATGCTGGTGGAGACTGTATCCATGGCGACAGTCGGATTGACAATGTTGTCTGTTGAGACTCCAGCTTTCTGGAAATCAGCATCCAAGGCCCGCCTTTTGGCAGGTGGAGGTGTGACGTAGGCAGAGTCAGAGCTGGAGCCTCTCTTTGCTAATGGCTGCTGTGTCTCTTCACTGTAGCACTCGCTTTCCAACAGCCAATGAGATGCAGCCTCCATAACCACCAGCCTCTGAGAGAGAGCGCCCACCTCCACCAGCTGCTCCCCGTCCACCAGATCCTGCACACACACACACACACACACACACACACACACACACACACACACACACACTCAGTCAATGAGCTGAATCTGCAGTAGAGCTGCTCGATTAAGGGTAAATTATATCGGTGCTTTCCACAGGTCTGAAATATATCTGTGCTGGTGCCTGGACTAAAACACACCTTTACCCACAGCACATAAACAGTGTATGTACAGTATATAACATCATTTGACTAATTTGAACTTAATAAGACACTCTATAACACTTATAACACTAATACCATTATAACTCCATTAATAACACACTCTATAACACTAATACCATTATGACTCCATTAATAACACACTTTATAACACTAATACCATTATAACTCTATTAATAACACACTCTATAACACTAATACTATGATAAATATGTTAATAACACACTCTATAACACTAATACCATTATAACTCCATTAATAACACACTATAACACTAATACCATTATAACTCTGTTAATAACACACTCTATAACACTAATACCATTACAAATCTGTTATTAACACACTTTATAACACTAATACCATTATAACTCCATTAATAACACACTATAACACTAATATCATTATAACTCTGTTAATAACACACTCTATAACACCAAGATCATTATAACTCTGTTAATAACACACTCTATAACACTAAGACCGTTATAACTCCATTAATAACACACTATAACACTAATATCATTATAACTCTGTTAATAACACACTCTATAACACTAAGACCGTTATAACTCCATTAATAACACACTATAACACTAATATCATTATAACTCTGTTAATAACACACTCTATAACACCAAGATCATTATAACTCTGTTAATAACACACTCTATAACACTAAGACCGTTATAACTCCATTAATAACACACTATAACACTAATATCATTATAACTCTGTTAATAACACACTCTATAACACCAAGATCATTATAACTCTGTTAATAACACACTCTATAACACTAAGACCGTTATAACTCCATTAATAACACACTATAACACTAATACCATTATAACTCTGTTAATAACACACTCTATAACACTAAGACCGTTATAACTCCATTAATAATGTAGTTCTGCAGAGTGAATGCAGACTTTATAAAGGGGCGGGACATGATGCTATCACCTCTTACCTGAATGTATTGCACCAGTGCTCGGCTCCGCCCCTCCTCCACCTCATCCAGGTGTATGAAGCGCTCACACAGCTCCTGTCTGTCAACGCCAAACTCCGCCCCCTCTGCCACCGCATCCCTGATCTCCACCACAGCCTGGAGGTCCTGCTCTCCATATCCACACACACTCACACACTTGTCCAGGAACGACTGCCAGTCAACAGGTGGTGAGTGATACACGCGCGTGAAGTAGAGTGGCAGAGACGGACGAATGGACGGAGAGAGAGCGAAGTCTGCTGCGTGCACACGCACACACAGAAAGAGAAAAACACATGTAAGTGCACACCCGTAGGTAGATTGTCAGTATGTGTGTGTGTGTGTGTGTACCATCTGCAGTGAAGAGTGTGTGTTGGGCCGTTTCCCTCAGCTGCAGGCGTACGCTGCAGGTGTTGACCATGATGTTATCTGTGCTGTTGGAGTTGTGTGTTTGCGAGCGCAGGATGCCGTGTGTGTAGTATCCCCTCATCAGCAGGTAATTAGTGTGAGACGCCTGAGTGGGTTTGACCTCCAGCTTTCTCCTCCTGTCATCATCTTCCTCTTCATCTTCCTCCTCCAGAGCTTTAGTGAGGCTGAAACACACACACACTTAGTTTTCAACAGTGTTAAATAACAATGATATTGAGTGTGTTATTGTGTTAATGTCGTTGAGTTACAAACGGTGTAAATGTGCCCATTTAAAACACTGTTATTAAGCCTATTAAGCATGCTATTAATAGTGTTATTGACAATGGTATGTCAGTATGGAGTGTGTTATTAACAGTGTTGTGGAGTGTGTTATTATCAGTGTTATGGAGTGTGTTATTAACAGTGTTGTGGAGTGTGTTATTATCAGTGTTATGGAGTGTGTTATTAACAGTGTTGTGGAGTGTGTTATTATCAGTGTTATGGAGTGTGTTATTAACAGTGTTATGGAGTGTGTTATTAAATTGTGTGTTATTAACAGTGTTATGGAGTGTGTTATTAACAGTGTTACGGAGTGTGTTATTAACAGTGTTATGGAGTGTGTTATTATCAGTGTTATGGAGTGTGTTATTATCAGTGTTATGGAGTGTGTTATTAACAGTGTTATGGAGTGTGTTATTATCAGTGTTACGGAGTGTGTTATTAACAGTGTTATGGAGTGTGTTATTA